ATTGAGGTATATCTTGTTTAATTTCTAAACATTTGGGAATTTTCCTGCTATGATTTTGATATTAATTTGAAATTTAGTTCTGATGTGGTCAAAGAATGGACTTTGTATGACTGTAGTCTTTTTAAATTTATCAGCATCTTATAGCTTAAAATGTGTCTATTTTGTGAATTTTCCATGCACTTGAAAAAATGTGTAAGGTCAAGTTGTATGATAGTGTGTTTCAGATGTTCATATCCATATTCCATATCTCACATCTGTAGTCCATTCATATCCATATAGTCTAGTATTATCAAATTATTATGAAGGCTATATTGAAATTTCCAATAGATTTGTCTTTTTTTCTTTTCAGCTCTATCAGTGTTTTCTTTGTGTATTTTGAAGATAGTTTGTTACTTATGTATATATGCATTTAGAAATGTCAAGCCTTCTTGGAGGAATTAAGAATTAATACTTTTATTATTATGTAATCTCCGTCTTTATATGTGGTAGCGTACCTTGTTCTAAAAACCTCTGAAGTAGTTTATTAATATGGTTAGATTAAAATTGTAATCTGCCATTTTTCAGATTATTTGTATCTTTCTTTTGATTTTTTCCCTTTACTTCCATTTGTCTTTTTGAAATCAATTCTTTTTATAGCTTTGATCTTTTTTACTAGTTTTCTTAAAATAATTTGCAATGGCCCACTTTTACCACTTTTTAGTGCTTTTTTTCCTCTGTACTTCGATACTTTCAGCATGTTTTCAGATTTACTGATCTTTCAAATTTACCTGATTAATTCTGTAATCTTTCATTTTGATATTTTCATCTTTAGAGTTTTATGTAGTTCTTTTTATATACCATTTCTTTTCCTTATGTATAATTTTTTATACATACTTAAACATACTTACATAAGTCCTTAATTGCTGCTTCCACAATGTTACTTCAGTTTCAGTTTCCTTCTAGTTATTGTGTCACAGTTCCCTATTTCATGTCATTTCTAATAACTTTTTTTATTAAATGTTTGGGTTTTGAATTCTGTATTGTTGGGTACCATGCTGTGTTGTATTCCTATTGAAGAGTGTTGGATTTATTCTTCTGGAAGTTATTACCGTGGCTGTTCTGTAGCTTAGTTTTCAGTTGTTAGGTGATTTGGGCATAGTTCAGTACCATTGTTATTGTCTAAACCCTATGGAGTACGCATGGGTATTTATCAAGGACTCTTCACTTTGGCATGAGCTCCGACAGCTCTATGAGCTTTGGGAATTCTTTGGCATATAGCTCTCACTTTTTACCATAGCCTTATAGACTTTGTCACATATGACATTTTCACAACAAACCTAAATGAATCCCTGTGTCGGTCAGATTTTCTGTTGCTTCGAGAAAATACCTGAGAAAATAAACTTGAGGAGGTTAAATTTATTTTGACTAAATAAATGGTTTCAGAAATTTCAGTACATCATGGCAGAAAGGGTGCAGTAGAACAGAGATTTTGCATTATGGTAGCCAGGAAGCAGGGAGAATGCCTATGCTAGCTGGCTTTCTCCTTTTTCTTCTTTTATTCCATTCAGGCCCTCGGCCTATAGGATGGTGCTGCCTGTATTCAGGGTGGAAACAGCCTCTCAGATTTATCCAAGATTAGTTTTACTAATCTCCTAGGTACTTCTCAATGCAGTCAGGTTGACAAGATTAATCATTTAATTCCACCCCTTGTCAACTTGACACTCAAACACGTCTCCTTAAACCGTAACATTACTGGCCTCAAAAAGGCTCATGTCCATCTCATAATGCAAAGTGCATTCAGTCTGTCTTTAAAATTCCCAGTAGTTTTAACAGTTTCAATATTATCCAAAAGTTTGAGTCCAAAGTCTCCTCTCAAGACAAGCTCTTGTCTGTGAGCCTTTATAAAATCAAAAAGAAATCACATGCTCTCAATATACAATGGCATAGATTAAACATAAATTTCAAAAGGGAAGAATGGGGACATAGAAAGGAGGGATGAGATCAAAGCAAGTTCAAAACCCAGTAAGGCAAACATTAAATCCCATAGGTCCATATCTAGCTACCAGGGCATGTGGTGCTGTTATGTGGTGATATGAACTCCCAAGGGCTAAGGCAACCCCATTCCTATGTTCTGGCCAGGCCTTGCTCTTGGGTTGGCTGCACTCCTTGCCTCTGGTTTTCCTTGGAAGATATTCTCCCTTGTTTGCATTTCTAACTTACCAAGGTCTCCATTGTTTCTTTAGCTTCTCTCAACTTCCAATGCCACACTCAGAGGCTGCCTGCAGGGATACAGACCCTGCCCCACATTGCCTGGCCTCCCAGGTCTTCCTTTGAAATCTCTGTGGAAACTTCCATGAGACCATAACTCTTACATTCTGTATGCCTGCAAAAATAGCATTAGGTCAGCAGTGCCAGTGTCTGCCACCAGCTCTAATAGTATCTGGGCTCCTTTGGACCATGGCTCCAGTGGCATCTGTGTGCCTGGATAACTGATGGGAAATACTTCCCTAGGCTACTCTGTGTGAACAGTATGTCCCAGAGCTCTCTTCTCAAAGCATAGTCTTTCAAATGAGTGGAAACCTCTGTCCTTGAGCCTCTGATGGGTGGAGTCTGGCAAATTCTTGGAATGTCCTCAAGTCATCTTTCCTGTTGCCCTGATGCAGAGTACTGATGGTGCTAATCTCTTCTGCAGACACTTTCCTTGGCTCTTACTTTATTCTTGCGTCTTTTCTGTGCAAACTGCAAGTTTTTCAAACTTTTATACTGTGCTATTTTGCTCACAGTTCTCACTGTAAACTTAACTAAAGCCAGCTACCAATGACCATGCCACAGCCTGAATGGTGGGTGGTGGACTACTTTGAAATCTCCAGCGCCAGATAAATTAGTTAATTACTTTTAAGTTCAGCATTCCACAAAGTCTCAGGATATGGGCACAATGTGGACAGATTCTTTGCCAGAATGTAACACAGATGCCTCTGGTTCAATTCCCACTAGAATCCTTGTTCTGAACCTTCATGAGTAGTTTTACTATCCACATTCCTGTCAGGGTTCTGGTCTTCTGAGTGTCTACCTAAATTGCCTTTAGGGTCTGCTTACAGCATTGTAGGGCTTCTCTAACCTGAGTCTCCAAACTTGCAAGTTCCTCCCAGAAATCATTCCAAAGGCTTCTGAACCACAAGGTCGAGAATAGCCATCGCAACAAGCCCATCTCTGGCACCAATTTTCCATGTGTGTTAGACTTCCCATCAGTGTGGGAAAATACCTGAAAAGAAAAGTAATTTAAGGAAGGGGAAGTTTATTTTGGCTTACGGTTTCAGAGGTTTTAGTCCATCCTGTGGGGAGTGTGTGGTAGAGCCAAATAACCTACAACCTGACAACCAGAAAAGCAGTAAGAGAGAGTGCCCACACTAGCTGCCTTTCTCCGTTTATGCTTTTTATTCTATCCAAGCCCCCAGCCTACGGATGGTGCTACCACTTTCAAGGAGGGTCTTCCCTCCTTGCTAATCCTCTCTTGAATTTCTCTCACATATGTACCCAAAAGTGTGCTTTACTAGGTGATTTTCATCCACTCTCACAATCCCTATGCAGATAACTAACCCTCTCCTCCTTGTGGCACCTTCTATTCTGTGCTACAAAATCTAACATCACAGGCTTCCTGAATTCTGATTTCTTTCTGCTCTGCAGTGAGATCATTCTATTCCTCTTGGGATCACCTTCCTTTCACTATAATCCAGAAGCTTTGTTTAGGTAGAAAGTATGCACTAATATGGAAGAGTATCTCTACACAAAATTGAGGCAAATCTGTAACTTCTTTCTTTCTTTTTTCTTTTTAACTTATTTATTTTTCTTCTTGGAATTATCTTCAATATTGCCTGTGGCCTAATGTCACCAGACAGCTATCTCGGCATGTATTTTATTTTTAATTCACAATTTGTAACAGATTTTTTAAGGAATGGATTGAGAGGAAAAAAAAAAACATAGGGCAGAGAAGTATGGAATAGAAAATAAGTACAAATGTAGCTCAGTGGGAGAGTGGGTGCTTAGCGTACACAGGTTTGAGTTCATTCCCTGTACTGCAAAAACCGAAACCAAAAGTATTTTGCCAGTTGTTTTAATAATCATAATTAGTATAGTGAATTTCTGTACAAAGCACATAGAAAGGTGTTCCATTAACATAGCAAATGATTTTAGTGTCTGATATTGGGAATGTAGGCTGTGATCCTTTTTTTAACAGATCCCTGGGTGTGTGGCACAGACCAAGCTTTTATCCAGATTTAAACAGAAGAATGGCCTCTCGGCCTCAGTAAAGTAGATGTAATGTTTGGTGTTATGTGTAATAACTACGAAAGGTCATGGGTGCGGTTTTACTTTTTGTCAAACTCCCCATTTGAACTCATTCCTCAACAGGAAGATTTTAACTGCACTCTTGCACCACTGTAAAAAAGCTTCTTGATAATGGGCTGCAATGTCCTTTTCAGTTGCTGGAATAGCACAGTCCAGAAGTCCTGTTGCACTTCTGGAGATGTCTACATTTTCCCCTCACTGCCATTCCTTCCCTTGCACTTGTTTACTGTAGATCCAGGGCTGGCCAACAGCAGTCTCCTGGGGGAGGTGCAGACACCACTTTGGCTCAGAGGGAGCTGCTTGTCACTACCAAAGCCATGAGACACAGCTCTCAGTATATACTTTAAACATATTTTTCCAGCTTTGTAATTTTTGCAACAAGTATATAAATCTGGTTGCATTAATTCTGTCATGACTGGAAGTGGAAGTCTTGGCCTACCATTTTATTTGCTAAATGTTTTCATGTAGAATTAGACTGAAAGGCCTAATCTATGGTTGCTTGTTAATATTGTTTGAAAAATCAAAAGGAACTAGTTTACAGTTTTTCAAACATGTCAGTAAAAATTAAACTGCTATACCTTATTCTCCTTTTTTTTAAATAGTAGTGTATTGACTACAAAAACTAGAGGAGAAAAGACTACATTACACCATTAATTATTAAATTTCTCCTGTTCTAGACCTAAAGACTGTCTTCGATCTATTATGAGGAGGGTGAACCATAAAGACCCCCATGTTGCCATGCAAGCTCTGACTGTAAGTATTTTCATGTTAAGCCATACTTTCCCTCCCCCCCCAAAAGAAATTGTGCCCTTTTAACTTCTGATTTTATGCTATTAGCTTCTAGGAGCATGTGTATCAAACTGTGGCAAAATTTTTCATTTAGAAGTATGTTCAAGAGATTTTGCAAGTGAAGTAAGCAACGTATTAAATAAGGTAAGGAATGTTATTTCCGGAAATTCATTAAGGCAGTCTTCTTTCTTTTCATTTTAAATCACAAAGGACTATTCTACTTGTGGGTTTTTTTTTAACCCTTTTTAGGCCATGTATTATTTAAGTAAATACTATGTTTTGCTGCAGAGACAACAAATTCACATAACTTTGAGAATTGATTTTTTCAAGCCATATTAAAGTATATTTAACTTTTTCCTATCATTTCTTTAATATGTATGTTTCTCTATATAACTAAATTAATATCAGTGTATTTTAATGCAAAGTTTTTGTAAATGCATACTATTCTAACATAGAACCCTTCAGAAAAGACTGACAAAATGTAAGGCACTTTTGAATTTTCATCTTATGTGAATAAGGTCACTACCTGGCCATCATAGGATTTTAATAGTACTGCTCTTAGTGTGGTCAGACCTGTCACTGGAGTTGCTCCAAAAGTATTAGCAGGGGATTTCCTGCCAGGGACTGCCCCATAACATCCCAAGATAGGCCAGTTGTAGTTCCAATGAAAGAAGGACTAAATGCCAGGATGATCAGGCCAAAGCATTTGTTAGTGAAACTTACATTTAGAGGCTGGAAGGTCTTCATGGTGGACAGTGAGAAAAGAGATGTTCTACCCAGGTATGTCTATAACGAGGGCATCAGGCTATGGAGTTTAAATCATGGTTTAAGGAATTTGCCTCTGGGTCAGGGCAGGTTTCTACATGTTTACCAACATATAGATCCTTTAGTACTTGATCTTTTAGTGTTTCAGACAACAACTTGAACAACTTTATCAATGCCTGGGAATGTTTAAGGGCTTTTCTTGGGTTCAAGTCTGTAGGTGAAAACATACAGCTGGCCAGGCCACCATACAGTGGTTGAGGCGCTGTGTGCTTCTAAAGCAGGGGAATGGGGGAACCTACAGCTGCCTACTTAATTGCATGTAGGATAAAAATTTCAACCCCACAATTCAAGGGACTTTAAAAAATTTAGTAGGTAATATATGAGTTTTCCTAGTAGAAATTTTCAGATTGTAAAGGTAATTGTTTCTGACTTAAAAAAATGTTTGGTATTATCAAGGAAATATTTCAGTATTAAAATGGGAAATGCTTAATTTTTTTTGAAAAATGAGTAGTTTCAGGTATGAGTAGAAAAATGCAGTGCAGAAATATAAGAACTTAAAATTCTATACTTTTTTAAGCATGTTTATGTAATGATGCCCTTTCTCTTCTGCTTTATTCAATTATATTTTTTTCTACTAATTAATAAATACTGTCTTTTAATGTCCTGAATGTCCATCAAAAGGTACAATTGTTAATAAAGAGATTCTGTTATCATGTTTTCTGTAATTTAATTGAAGATGTGCTATACAAACTTACACAGTGATAAACAACTGCTTTGGAACACAAAGACATATAGGAAAGAGGACTTTGTTTTCTAAATGTTGTACAATTTATGTCTTACTTTTATACTTAAGGGAGAGATATTATTTGAAGTTTCCAGGACAATTAGCCTGTCCAGGGCTCAGATAATTAGCATCAGGGGAAAAGCACACAGTTGTGAACATTAAAAGTCAGGAATTAAGAATAAAGGAACTGTGCCAGTCCTTCTCACCTTGGAACTTTTCTCTTGGCCTGCAAAAAGCAAAACAAAATAAACGGCTTTTCCTGACAAAAAGCATGTTTAGCTGCAAAATACCCTGAAAAGTTCTTTCTTTCTGATTTCCAGAATAAATTACTACATATTTAATGTTTCAGTCTTGGAGTGAGATATATCATATACCTTACCCTTGTTTTTTCACAGTGTGAAAATAACATATATTTATTTCTTGTACCTAACTATATTTTCTTATTTTCACATGTATATTCTACAACCAGGGGCAATTTGTATTGAAAAAGAGATATAACACTTTGTAATTTCTCTATTTAAAGTATTTGAATTAAATCATTAACCAGGAAATTGGTACTTCATTAATTTTTTCCCTATTTCTTAGGGTCATCCTAAAGTATGTGAAAAATTAAAGGCTCTTATGGTCGAATGGACAGATGAATTTAAGAATGATCCACAGCTTAGTCTAATATCTGCAATGATTAAGAACCTTAAGGAACAAGGAGTTACATTCCCAGCTATTGGCTCTCAGGTATTTTAAAAACTGCTTATGATAATTTGCTTTTCTACAATAGCTATGTTTATTTGAAGTGTTCTCTTTTTTTTCTTCATTTCTAGGCTGTTTTTACTACTTCAGAGGAATTTTGTTAATAGTCTTGTGGTCAAGGGTGCCAAAAATGTCAATGTGGAATATTAATGTGCACCAACTTTATTTTCCCACTACTTCTCCTTTACGAATTAAGTTGTCTAATAATCCTTAAATTTTTATGTACTTTTAATATACCAAATTGCTTAACTATATCAGTTATAGCTGTTAATCTTATTAAATGTTCATAATTCTGTAATTTTATATGCAGAGAATGATAGCTCAAAAATCAGTATATCTTTACAATTTAGGGATGAATTTCTTGGTTCTTTTGATAAGAACTTTATGAACATCTGTATTAAAGATGGGGAGGTATAAGGAATGAAATACAGAAAGATGCACACACAGCAGCCTTTTCCTTAATAAGAGCTGACCAGTGCATAAGTTCTCTTCCTTTCCCTCAACAAATGTGATTGATTGAAAGGGTTAACTTTCCTGTCTTACACACAATTGTGTAATGGGATCAATCTCTGATTTATGTCATATAGGAAAAAAAATCAAGGTGTATCTTTTATATCCATTCTCTAGGTAACCATCCTTTAAGGTGCCCAACTTAAAATGTGTGGTAATATAGTTTAGTATTTTTCCCCACTGGATGAATCAGAACAAAATTACAGTGAGTGGTATGAATCCATGAATGGAACACACACACTCTCTTTTGACCACTCGAAGGAGCCATATAGATTATCTACTTTCATACATATCTCTCTAGATTTTCTTCCCAAGGCATTTCCATTTTATCTGTGTGCTCTTGATTAGTGAAGGGCTTGTCAAAGAGAAGTCAGCAAATGACATTTTCCTCTTACTTTAAGAAAATCAGTTTATGATTAGTTTTACAATGATATATTATGTCTTTGAGAAATATTCATTCATAATTGCTAGCTGGCTTTTATTAAGAATAATTTTGAGAATCTATAATTAAAGGATAATTTTATGCAGAGTAAGCCAAGATAATTATAAATTACTTGACAAAAGAAACAACATTTATTTATCCAAGGGTAGATTGCAGAAACCAAAAAGTGTGGATACTTTGTAGAATTACATTTTCTATTCTAGAACTTGTTACTCGAAATGTGGTTACCACCATCATCGGTATTACCTTGATGATTGTAAGGAATACAGCCTCTCGAGTGCTACTCCACACCCAATGAGTCATTATTTCCATTTAATAAAATCCTCAGATGATTCTTTGTGTACAATGAAGTTTGAGAAGCACTGTTGTATAGTATAGCTTTCAGTGTAACCAAAACCCACATTTCACTCCACAAATGGACTTGCACTCATAAGAGAAGGAAGAAGCAGTGTTCTGTTTGACGTGTAGCCTTACTTGGTTAATCAAGAATCTTAGATAGTTGTGGAAACAACTTTAGGCATCCTGTTCTCTAATCTAATTCCTTTATTTTACAGTTGAGGAAATTGAGACTCAGAATGGTGACGTGACTTTCCTAGAGCCATAGCTAGTAGTCCTCAGAGCTAAAACTAGAACAGAGTCTAGTATTCTCTCCACAACCCAATCCTGCATACCTTTTGATTTAGAATTTAGTGGATATGTGTCTGTTCAGACTAGACTTCAAAGGACAAGAAGAATAGTGAACTCTGGCAGACGCATTTCTTTCTTTTTTTCCCTTTAGTCATATATTCATATGTACATACATGTTTGGGCCATTCCTCCCCCCTGCCCCCTGCCCCCTCCCTCTCCCCTCACCCCCCTCGCTTCCAGGCAGAACCTGTTCTGCCCTTTTCTCCAATTTTGTTGATGATAAGACATAAGTAATAATAAGAAAGACATAGCGTTTTTACTAGTTGAGATAAGGATAGCTATACAGAGAGATTCCTAGCATTGCTTCCATGCACAAGTGTATTACAACCCGAATTGATTCATCTCTATCTGACGTCTTCACTACTTACCAGTCACCTTCCCATAGTGACCTCTGTCTCTTTAAGGTTACTGTATTAGTTCCTCTGCAGTAGGGACATCAAACACTTTCAAGTTTCAGGTTTCCTACCTATCCCCATTCCTCACATATGTGCTCTCCACTTAGCATGTGACCCAAGTCCAACAACATTGCTGCATTTACCCTAGATCTAAAGTCCACATATGAGAGAGAATGTACAATTTTTGGTCTTCTGAGCCTGGCTAACCTCACTCAGGATGATGTTCTCAAGTTGCATCCATTTACTTGCGAATGATAAGATTTCATTCTTCTTCATGGCTGAGTAAGATTCCATTGTGTATAAATACTACATTTTCTTAATCCATTCCTCAGTAGTGGGGCATCTTGGCTGTCTCCATAGCTTGTCTATTGTGAATAGCGCTGCAATAAACATGGGTGTGCAGGTGCCTCTGGAGTAACCTGAGTTGCATTCCTTTGGTTATATCCCTAGGAGTGGGATTACTGGGTCATATGGCAGATCGATGTTTAGTTTTTTAAGAAGCCTCCATATTGTTTTCCAGAGGGGTTACACTAGCTTGCATTCACACCAACAGTGTACAAGGGTTCCTTTTTCCCCACATCCTCTCCAGCACCTGTTGTATTCTAATGGGTGAGGTGGAATCTTAGTGTGGTTTTGATTTGTATTTCCTTTGTGGCCAGAGATGGTGAGCATTTTTTCATGTGTTTTTTGGCCATTTGAATTTCTTCTTCTGAAAAAGTTGTTTAGTTCAGTTGCCCATTTCTTTATTGGTTCATTGATTTTGGGAGACTTTAGTTTTTTGAGTTCCCTGTATATTCTGGTTATCAGTCCTTTGTCTGATCTGTAGCTGACAAATATTTTCTCCCGCTCTGTGGGTGGTCTCTTCAGCTTAGAGACCATTTCTTTTGTTGTGCAGAAGCTTTTTAGTTTTATGTAGTCCCATTTGTCTATCCTTTTTCTTAGTTGCTGAGCTGCTGGGGTTCTATTGAGGAAGTCCTTGCCTATACCTATTGCTTCCAGAGTATTCCCTGCTCTTTCCTGTACTAACTTCAGAGGTTTGGATCTCATATTAAGGTCCTTGATCCATTCTGAGTTGATACTACTGCAGGGTAGTAGGTATGGATCTAGTCTCAGTTTTTTCCAGGCAGATAACCACTTTCCAGCATTTGTTTCTTGGTTGTTAGCAAAGTTAGGTTATTCTCTTGTTCAAAATATTTAGGACAGAAAATACCAGTGGTAAAGTTAACACTTTTCTTTTGATCTAGATACTGTAAGATATGCAAAAGCTAATTTTATTTTACTTGTCTTTCAGCTACAAGAAATATATAAACTGCATATAAAATGAAATAGCTGGAATGGTGATTTTCTTTTAGTAATTTCTAAAAAGCTTGCCGTTGGAAACCATATGTGTAGAGAACATGATTAGGCCAGGTGCCAGTGGCTTATGCCTATAATCCTTGCTATTTGGGAGGCTGAGATCGGGAGCATCGAGGTTTGAGGCCGTCTGAGCAAATTATTCACCACACCCCATCTCCACAATAACCGGGGCAAAATGGATTGGAGGTGTGGTTTAAGCGTTAGAGTGCCTGTTTTGCAAACTTGAAGCCCTGAGTTCAAACCCAGTCCCACCAAAACCTAAACAAAATAAAACATGATTAGTGAAAAGAAATCATCTAGGTTCAACTGCAGAACTCCTGGATTTTAAACCCACTTAATTACTTAAGTAATTATTACATTTTCAACAGACTAGAGTTTTTTCAGGGTATATTTAACAAAAGCCCCTAAAAATATAAACATTTTTATAAGTGTATCACTCAAGGGCAGATGAAAATAATGTAAAAACATTAAGAAAATTCACCCCCATGCTGATGTAGTTCTGTGAACTGTTACTTTTGATGTAGCAGTAGAAGTAAGGGCAACACCACTACTGTATTTGACTAGTTAATAATCCAGTATCATTGCTACTCTAAGAACTCTCATGATAGAAAGGAATGTTGTGCAATTTAGTAATGTAGAATGTACCATATTTCTACTCATCTTTCTCAACTGAGATATTCCTTCAGAGACACAAAAAAGTCATTATATCTTCCATATGTTGATGCCAGCTGCTGTTGTAGGTGCTGTATATGTGATAATTTGAATGTATCTTACCTAATTTTTTGTTTTGGTGATGCTTAGGTTTGAACTCAGGGCCTCACACTTGTTAGGCAGGTGCGCTACTGCTTGAGTCACTCCACCACCCCTTGAATGTATCTTAGAATTCTATTTTTCTTAATTGGTTGCTGCTCTGGGAATTACAATATACATTTGTAACTTCCCACAATTTACTTCAGATTAATATTGTGTGTATCCTTTGCTATAAAATATAGATACTTTGTAACTGTATAGGTCCATTTACAGTTCACCTCTGTATTCTTTGTTTTATATTCATCATATTAATAACTCTATATACATTATAAAGCTTTAAAAGTAATGTTATACCTTTTGTTTTAAACCCTGATTGTACCTGATTTGGGGAGCTGCGATGTTTGAATCTAATTATCTAGATAGGATGTGAGGTGCCCACGAGGTACAGATATTATATTATCCTTATTTTATTCCTGAGGAACTTGAGGCACAAAGAGTTTAATGTACCCAGTGTCATTCAGCTAAGTGGTTGATGTGGGATTTGAACCCCTGTTTGCCTGGCTCCACAACTTGCGTTTCTAACCACCCATTTCATAGTACTTGTCACAGAGGAGAAAATGCTTTAATTGAGGGGTTTAGGAGTGTTTCTTTGAGAAAGTGATATTTTAGCTGTTTAGTGACTGGTAATTTGAAGCTCAGTGGGGGAAAATGTGAATAGAACAAATGAACCAGAGGAAGGAGAACATAGGACCTGTGTCACAGGTGTAGAAAAAAGCGCCAGTATATAGAATAGTTAAAATGAGACTGGCAAAATAAGCTAGATGCTGATCTGCATTGAGTGCATGCAAAAACTAAGAGGGCACGGAGTACAGAAGGCTTAGAACCTTATAATTCCAAACATGTGAATTAGTTTGTATGTTCACTTACTTCTCATTGCCTTATTTGTAAAATATGTTTAATATAAGCAGTAATCTATGGCCAAAATTAGCTACTTGTATTTTGGTTTATAAAATAGGATTTTATGAACATTTATGTTGTTGTATATAAATTTGTGTTCCTAAAGCTAGCACTCTAACCTTAGATCTGGAAGGAAATAAGTGTTGAATAGTTTAACTCCTGCTTCCAACCCCTTCTCTGGCTTTAGAATTTTTCTAATCGTTCTTTCCTGACTTCCATGCTGTTTTTAGTTTAATCCAGTTGCACACATGTCGGGGGAGAGTGGTTGGTCTGTCACTATAGTGGTCCAGTTGCTTTCAGTCCGTTTTCCTTAATTCTGACTTTTTCTCCACCCTTTCAGCGTATACCCTCCTCCAGTTTGGATGATGTTCTTCAGAAATCAATAGTAGATTGATGAGAGGGGTCTTGCAGATTCTTACACTAGGTATGGATGGGTAATAGAATTTGAAAACAGCCTTTAAATGCTGTATTCTTTTTGTGTGTTAGGCTGCAGAACAAGCGAAAGCAAGCCCAGCTCTAGTAGCCAAGGATCCTGGCACTGTGGCTAACAAAAAAGAAGAAGAAGATTTAGCAAAAGGTGCGTTTTAAGTCACTGAAGGTGGGAAGAAGATAAGTCTGGCTGAATAGCTTTTCCTTTAGATATTTAGAGATAAAAGAATCGACTCTACAGCTAAAGCAGAAATGTGCTTTATTCCCCTCTTCTATGTTATTTCTTTACTGTCCTCTTCAGAACAATTATCATATATGTCCTTCCAGTCTATGTTTTTATAATATTTTCACTGCAGTATATATAGAATTAATATCAAATACTTCTTTGTCCAACAAAGTTTTTTCATAAGCAGTGCATTTGAAGTATTGCCTGCAACTTGTTTTCTTCATGCATTGTGTTCATGAAGAGACCAAAAATTCATTTGCTTTCGCTAATACTTAATATTCCATTGTACTAAAACAGCATGCTTTTTCTGTTCTCCTACTGGTAGACATTTGTGTTTCTCGTGTGTTTTTCACTGTAAGAAATAGTGCTGTGGTGAGTGTCCATGTATATGTTCTCTTGTGTGTATGTATGTGACTATTATGAATGGCTGAGTGGTATTGTTGAATCATGGGATAGGTGTATGTTCAAATTTGGTAAATGTTTGTTTTCTTCCATCAACAATGTATGGAAGCCATTATTATGATTATTATTATTTATAATCTGAAAACACTTGGTATTGGTAGAGGTTTTTTTTTTTAATGAATCTTATAGACTCAAAATGAGGTGTAAGTGTTTTAATTTCTATGATTATTAGTGAGATGAGTCCTTAGATGAATTGTCATTTTCTATTGAGGTTTTTCTTTTTTAAATAGTGATGTGTAGAAGTCTCTATTAGATCTTAATCTGTTACTCATATCTATTATAAGCATCTGTCTCTTATTTTTATCTTATATTTTAATTTTGATAATGGTATATTTTATCAAATAGACTTTTTAGGGGCTGAAGGTGTAGATTGGTAGTAGAGCATGTGTATAGTATGCATGAGGCTTGGTTCTTTCCCCAGCACACCCACATACACATATATACAAGTCTTAAAATTTAATGTCAAAATTTTTTGCTCTTAGGATTTTTACTTTTCTGTTTCTTGTTTAGGCTATGTCTCCTGCCCCAAGATCCTAAATGACATTTTCCTGTGTTGTCTTACAGTTTTAAATTTTTGTTTTCATATTAATTTTTTCATCAAGGAAGGGTTGGGGGGAGAGTAGAAGTTGAGGTTATGGTTCAAATTGAAATAGGGAAGTCTGTGCATTAAGATTACATTGCAGAGTAATAGAGTAACATGAAGCAATTATGTAACTATATGATCTGTGGTTGGTATCAGTGGGGGAGTAATGGTGGAGGTAGAGGTGTACTTTGGAGGATTTGTTAGGTTAGTCTTTTGAATGATGACATAACAATTACTTTGCTTGCAACAATACAATCCAGGTTCTCAGATGCTACCCATGATTCTCTGATTAAGTAAGTCTGCAGTGAGGCTTTTGTGCTCCAATTTCCCAGGTGATTTTCGTTATCATTTTGGACACTTAAGCTATAGGAATACTTATCTTAAAAAGGTGAAAGGAAATATAAAATATCTGTTGCTAAATGTGAAAAAAAGTATCTTAAGAATTTATATCTTTTTATTACCCAGAATAATTTAAATTTTGTCTTTTCAGTAAGAGTCATGAACTTTTTTATTCACTTATTTTTAAGCTTTCAATTGCAAATGAATGAACGCAGTTGACAAAGTTATTTCTGTTATATCAGGATATGTTGTAGGTTTCAGCTACACTGTTGAAAGAATGCTACTTTTTATGTTGAGTTTTTTTTTTTTTTTTACTTCTTTGGATTGTTGGCTCTATTGACATTTGGGGTCTTTAAAAACCCATTACTTTCCAGCCATTGAGTTGTCCCTCAAGGAGCAAAGGCAGCAGTCATCTGCTCTTTCCACTTTGTATCCAAGCACTTCCAATCTCCTAACTAATCACCAACATGAAGGCCGAAAAGTTCGTGCTATATATGACTTTGAAGCAGCTGAAGACAATGAACTTACTTTTAAAGCTGGAGAAATTATTACAGTTCTTGATGATAGGTAATGGTAATTATAAATTGAACATTCTTGTGAAAATAATAACTTCTGTTTCATGTTATTAGTGTTGAATGCAGTTACCAAATGCAATAAAAACATTGACCAGATAGGTGATCAGTTGATTTGCTTGTCTCATCCTGTATAGATTCTTATTTTGTAGTTTTAATTCTTACCTCATTTATATTATTTAAATAAGTGCTTAATGCCTAGTTTTTATCTATTCATTTTTGGTTCCATTTAATAATATAGATTGTAAACCATTTAAAAAGTTAAAGCTTTAGAAGAGCTTGAAGAGGAAAACCTTTGTAAAATTTGAGCTGGTTAGCTAAAATTATAAAATCTTGGTTATTTATCCTTGGAAAAAAATCTTCACTGAGCACTTGCCAGCTTTCTGTGTACTAGGCATGGAGGATACATTGGTAAACGTGGGTAGACACCTGATCATGTGCCCTTTGTGAAAGTTTTGTGCTATGAATGGTGTCTTCTTTTGTATGTGTTACAGTAGGAAAAAAAAAGAATTTTGCTAATATGTACTAGATATAGCAATAATTTGGGAGTGAAGATTTAGATTAAGTGTCTGCCTTTACATCTTACATAAACAGGTCTTATGATAGATCCCTTGGACCTAAAATTGACAGTTTTTAAGCAATAAGGGCCTCTTTTTGGGGAGAGAGTTCACAGCTTTTTATTGATTCTCAAAGCACTCACTGGCCTTCAAAAACATAAAGAACTCTATGTTTAATAGCTTCTTCCTTTAGACCTCATTTTTTATTTGTAGGAAAGATATATTCCTTGATTCCTTAATTGGATTGTTGTGGGATTCCAATTGGTAGTAATAAATACAAGCCACATACTATAAAAGATAAAAATTTATAGAAATAAAAGTCTTTATTTTAGTAAAGCATTCTGTTTTGTTCATCATAGTGATCCCAACTGGTGGAAAGGTGAAACCCATCAAGGCATAGGATTATTTCCCTCTAATTTTGTGACTGCAGATCTCACTGCTGAACCAGAAATGAGTAAGTATTTTTCAGTCTGTCCATAGATAATAATTTTTTTTTTTTTTGATGGGACTGGGGTTTGAACTCAGGACTTTGAGCTTGCAAAGCAGGTGTTTTGCCGCTTGAGCCCCACCTCCAGGCCATTTTGCTGTGATTATTTTGGAGATGGGGTCTCATGAACTTTTAGCCCAGGCTGGCCTGGGCACCATGATCTTCATGATCCCAGCTTCCCAAGTAGCCAGGATTTGTAGGTGTGAGCCAAGGGCTTATAATCTTAATGAAAGGTGAGTAAAGCCATCTTTCTGGAGCAGTGGCTTCTCAAATGTTAGTGACTACAAGATGTTTATAGAAAATTTCAGTCCCTTAGATTATTTACCAGAAATAATGTAATAATTAAAATTCTCTGTGTATTAAGATTAATTTTTGATAGATTATGGACTTTTCTTTATCATAATGTATCTAGTTGTATAGATGACATTGTAAAAGTGCAAATTCATTAAGAAGTGTTCTTATCTTCTGATGAAAATGTGACAAATGCAGTGTGATCTCATAGGTTCTTCCTTTTAAAGGTTTTCTAGGGTCTAGCCCTTATCTTGACAGCACTGATTCTGAGCAAGACAATGACCCTAAGTGTAAGGTTTACAGAAGGAGCCACATTAGATGTTTAACTAATTCTATAAGATTTTTGTTTGTTTGATTTCCAAATCTTTGCTGACAAGAAAAAAAAAAAAAAAAGAACTAGAAAGTGGGGTCATGAAGGAAAAGTGATAGTAGTACCCATAATAGTTTCAGGAGATGTAACTGCCAGTATTCTGTCAAAGTGTTGGGAGGCAGTTCATTCTGTTTCTACATCATACCATACTTCACTGAATCTTCACAATGATAAGTTTGAGTCATCAAGAAAAATTTCACAATCTTCTGCTACTTAAGAAAACAGAAAGATATGTTCAAGCCTAGACAGAGTTGTTAGTGACATAACAATTATTAGCTTTTCTATATAAGGCTAGCTGCAGTAATCTGGCAGAATATCTCATCTTTCTATAATGCCAGATAGAAGGGATGAAAGAAAGTTCCAAACTACAAGTTGCTTAGTTCTTTTTTAGTTCACAAAACTTTTTAAGAAAGTACCTTTGTCTTAGCTGACTTTCTCCCCGCCCCCAACAACATCTGGCTTATCTGTAGAATAAATAATATACAAATATATGCATGTGTTTACAGTGAAGAGATACTTCTCTTTGAAGAGAGCATTTTAACAATGCATTAGAAATTTAGATCTTTAGTCAAATAATGCTCTCCCATAGTTATTGCCAGGTTGTCTTGAAGCACTTTTTATAGACACATTCCTGATACCATTCTTTTAATCAAGCTGTTTTTTGTTAGTTCTCAAAAATGTGATATCTATTTAAATGTTACTGCATAGTTTCCTGACTTTTTAATAACCTGGGCAGATAGTGGTTTGGTTTTGTTTGTGTGTGTGTGTGTGTGTGTGTGTGTGTGTATTGTGTTTTAAGGTTTTTTTTTTTTTTTTTTAAGTGGGGGGTCCTTATATCAGCAGTTGTTTTTCTAGTTCTCCTGTGTTTCACTCTGGACAAAAGAGAAACAGGAGAGTCTAGTTGCTGTAATGTAGTTATGGTTTTCAGACTTGGATAACGAGTGCATACCCCCATAACTTCATTCTTACAGAGGTAATGGAAGACCACTTCACAGAATCTACCACACAGAAACACTTGCCCTCTTTAGGTTGTTTTTATTTTGGAGATAGCATTAGATACTATGAAAAAACTATATCTTTTATATATGTGAAAATAATTTTTTATATACCACACACGTGCTATTCCTATGAGAAAAAGGGCAGCAGACTTGTGCACGGTCAGCTATATGAATCTGCCATGTGTTGTCTTATGGGTAACAGCCAATGCAGTCTGTCCCAGGTTTCTACTTGTTAATAGCTCAAGATATAAAAAGCAAAAATGTCTGTGGCAGATGTCTCTTTTTCTCCAGTGGAAAATGAATCAGCTAAAAGTTTTGTATGTAGAAATTTGCTTTATAGTGACTTGAATAGAATGAAAGTATTATTGTTGCCCATTAAACCATTTCTGTTTTATACAGAAGTACATAACACAAAATACATAAGAGATACAACTTCTTGTTCTCAGAGTAAAATCACAGACCAGATTCCAGTGTTTTGGACTAATAAAACATGATAGACTACCACACAAGTCTAGGCTTTGCAATTTATTAGTTTTCTCTTTTCCTAAACCACCTTATTTATAAAATGGGCACATCACCTAGGATTGTTTTGGAAATTTATTAGGGAAATGTAATATTCCATCAAATATATTGAATAGTTTAATAAATTTTATTTCCCTTTGTTGATTCTGTTATCTCCCTTAATATTTTTATGACTTCTGTTTGACAGATGAAAAACACACATAGGAAGTTTCTGTTAGAGCTGTATGTGCTTTTTAGTGTTATTTGGAGGTTGCCATGTATCAATAACAACCTTACATTAAATTTTTTTTCTTCGCTTTTGGGGTAGGGAGTTGTCTGTTTTTTGAGCACAGTCTCACTTACTATGTAGCCTAGACTGACTCCAAACTTGAGATCCCCTTGCCTCCACTTCCTGAGTGCTGGCTTTACAGGTGTGCCTACTACATCCCTCTCCCTAAACAGTTTTCTGTTGGCTTTGGTGAGTAACAGAAATATGTGCTTTTGGCCAATGATTTGCTTATCCCTTAATGACAAAATTTTCAGTTCAAAGTAAAATGTACATCAAGCCCACCTTATTCTGAGATTTAGTTCACACAGTTTTGACCAAGCATGATTAAAAAAAATTAAATAAAACAAAGAAATTTCAAAAACGAAAATTTTAAATGCCTCCACCTGCATTATGTAGCTCAGTTGGCATAGAGAAGCTCTCAGCCAGTCCTGCATTATCATCAGTTGTGTTTAAATTGTGTGATCTGCTGAGGGTTTCCCTGCACCCTCAGTACAGTACTGAACTCTGCATCCTAAGCATTTGCGGGTTTTCCTCAATGCGGTTTCTTTGGAGCCAGAGACCCACAGATTCCAAGAGTTTTCTCTAGCAAGAAAACACAGGCTGATTTGCTGGTAGAGAGAATTGGTTTTAAATTGCAGCATTCATTTATGCCATCGTAAAACTTTGTTTTTTCTAACAGTATACTGAACTCCATCTTAGGTGATTAATTTTTGGTTTAGAAACATAACTCATTTTTAGTGAAATCTCTTATGAAAAACATGAAATCTTTATAAGACAAAATTAAGATGTCTTGACAGAATAATTTCATGAAGTAATGTTCTATCATTATTGGTTAAATCTACACTCTAACTGTGCCTAAATTGAGTCTTTCAGCTTGATGAAAATGAAAGACAAATGCCAAATTCTTTCTTAGAACTTAAGATTTTAAATATAATTTAAAATTTATTATAAGGAAAAGATAATTTTTTACATATTTTACAGTTAAAACTGAGAAGAAGACGGTACAGTTTAGCGATGATGTTCAGATAGAGACAATAGAGCCAGAACCGGAACCAGCCTTTATTGATGAAGTAAGTGATTCTCTTGGTGAGAGTGGTTAGTACTTTCTTTGTATTGAAGTTGGAATCTTTTTGCTTTCTTTTGAAACAATCAGTTACTTCAGTGATCTTGTTATAAAAATTCAAACCACATAGAACACAGTATAGATTGATATTAAAATGTCCTCTTCAGTCCTATTTTTACCCCATCAAGACCTCATTAGTTTAAATTCTTGGTTAGGGCTGGGGGTGTAGCTCAGTGGGAGAGCACTGGGTTTGATGAGACAGGCCCTGGATTTGATCCCTGGTGCTGCAGATAGTAATAACAATAATACCAGCTTTTCATAAAATAGATTTATCATGATTAATTATTCTTTGTTGGACACTTGAGTTGTTTCCAGTTTGAATTGCTATTTCAGGCAGTATTGTAAAGAGATTTGTTTTTTAAACATCTACCTTTGTGTTTCTATTGAGTAGATACTCAGGAATAGAACTGATGAGTTCAAAGGTGTGTGTGTTTTCTATGTTAATAGATACTGCCAAATTGTTCAACAAAATGGGATTTTTACACACCTGTCAATACCATGTGAGAGTACCTGTTTCCCCATATACTTAGCAAGCACAACAGCAATGCATGTTTCCAGTAACTGTGTTTGAAAACATACAGTGCCAAATTGGCGGCAACTCATTCCACAGGTTTTGGTTCTAGTTATTATTACCCGAACTTGTATTATTATAATTTAAACTTGGAGTTTTCTTGAATTAAGTTAATTTATCCTGCTCTTTCCTATATTGGGCAGAACCCCTTGCCGACAATCATCATTTTCTCTCCCTCCTCTTTTACAGTTTCCCTCTCCCTGTGTCTTACCCTGTGTCTATACCAAACCTTACAGTGGTGTATTGCTGAAATGCATAAAAATCCCCAGAGACAATTCTAAATTTTGGGGTTGGTGCTTTCATATATTTTGTAAACAAAGTATAGGAGCAAAATGACTTGTCAGCTGGAAGATAATTAAAAATAGTTTTATGATAGATAGGCCATTGTGATTCCTGACATACAATCCAGAGATAACTAAAGGAATTCAGTGATATTTCTGTAACAGCTTGTATTATAAACCAGATTTCTCTTTACTTTGATCTATAAAAATTAAAAAAATAGGAATACAAATGATGCTGAATCCTGGCTCATTTTATTAATTATGAAGTATGTTACTTTGACCACTTTTATGCTAACAGGAATCATCAACTCATGCAGATGAATTAAACATTTAACATTATCGATTTATATACATACTTTTATTGCAAAGAAATTTGGTATAGTCCTCAGTAGAAGACATTCAAGTATTTTACATTGGGGTACAATTTTGTAGGAGAAATTGAGTAGAAATGTGATGATTTTAAGGAGAAAAATGAATAATTTGAAATTCCTGACAGACTTTTTTTTTTTTTTTTTTAATGTTTCTTTGCTTATCTGGTGCTGGGGATGGAATCTAGGGCTTTGCACATTCCATGCAAATCCTCTACGAAGGCACATCCCCAGCCTGTTTTTTTAAATGATAATGGTGGATGCAGATTGCTATGATATTTGAATTCCTTTGAATATATTTCAGAGGTAATAACTTTTGTTTTAAAATGTCAATATGTAAATAGTAGAAATTATATCCTTTGTAATATTTTTAAACTTATGAAAAACGAAAGTCATCATTTATATGAAAGGATTTATAGGTTTTTGGCATTCTTTTGGTAGAGATAGGAACAGGAGAAACAGAGTATGGAAGACTGCTAAGCCCAGGGAATCCAGTGGGGTCAAGGAATGTTGTTTGGTGAGGCTGAGGAAATGTGTGTAGAGTCAGACTAATGGTCTATGTAGGAACCCTGTTTCTTTGAGACTAAATAATTTCAAGTAGTGTATAGTATTTTGTAAACAAACAAAACAAAAATTATCTACATGTTAATTGACTCTCATTTTACTTTTTTTGTGGTGGGGGAGCTGGAGGCAAAACTTTCTGATATGTGCCTTCCTCTTAGACTTCTTTTTTCTCTTGGTTTTTGTTTTCTTACATGCTTAGAACAGAATTTTTGTTTTAAATAACTACTTTGCTTAGAATTAGTAACTTTTAAATTACTTAGCCCTGTGCATGGTAAATTACTTACCTGGTAGGGTAGCAATATCACATAAAAACTGTATGGAGAAAGGTATATAATTGTTGTAGCATTCTTTGAAAGATTAAAAAATACATAGGCACTTATATAATGTATAGATGTATTTATGTAATGATGATTTTATTAGCTCCTTTGGTCTTTAGCAGCAAAAGATTCTGAAAAAGATCTGAGTCATTGGCTTGAGATATCTTCAGTCCTTCCCACACAGGAGAATAGAGAAAATACAAGTTTCCTCCTTCCTTTTATGACAAACTGAATCATTGGTGGAAAAAAAGATAGAATAAATCCTTAGAGCCCAACTTACAAGAACAGCTGTAATAGAGCTGAGCTTGGCTCTACCGAAACAGCTGCTATATTCATCATACGCAAGAAGTAATGACTGAGCTGTTAGTCATGGCAAGCCATCTTGAGAGGGATGTTACACCTGTCACATAGCTAAGCTACAGCTGCTCCAAAACAAAGTGAAATTTTCTAGTGTGATAGAGAAATCCAAAAACTTACATGTTGTAAGTTAAATGTGGTGGGCCTATTTCTTATAATTTGAGAGAAGCTCTGTTAGTAGTTTCAAAAAAGCATAGGAATAGCTTCCAAGGGTCTGATTTTACATGGTACAAAAGAGATGCATGGGATGCTAAAACCATAAAAGCAGGACTGGAGGTGTGGCTTAAGTGGTAAATTGCCTGCTTTGTGGGCGTGAAGCCCTGAGTTCAAAACCCAGTCCCACAAAAAAGAAAGGAAGCTAGAAAAGAAGAAAACATAAAAGCAAAATTAGTCTCCATAACTGTGAGTCTTATATCCATTATCTAGTTAAGGAGGTGAGTGCATAATGTTTTGTAAAGATTGGTTGCTATTTATAGTAAATATTTAATTCTTGTAGGATAAAATGGACCAGTTACTACAGATGTTGCAAAGTACAGACCCCAGTGATAATCAGCCAGATCTACCAGAGCTACTTCATCTAGAAGGTAAACCTTGTTTTCTGTTTACCTTGCAATCAAATAATAATTAGAGAGTGTGTCTAGCTTTCTCTGTTGCAGAACAGTATTTTGCAGTGACCTTAAAAATGTAACTTTCTCATTCTTTCTAGACCAGTCTCACTTGTATGCTATTTAAGCCTTGGGTAGAATTTGAAATCTTAATCTCTTTATCAGATGTTTTACTTAGCATCTTATAGTCTTGTAAACTGAAAAAATTTAAAATTTGAGGTCAGTATTTTAAATTGTCACGTTATACCTTAAGAAAATCAATTTTGCGTTCTTTGATTTAGGTTAATTAATATACTTTTATTACTATAAATTAAATCTTTTATCCCTTTAATTACATGAATATTTGTCAAAATCTCACCTTATTATTTCTTTAAATCTTGTCATCTTAGCAATGTGTCACCAGATGGGGCCTCTCATTGATGAAAAGCTGGAAGATATCGATAGGTAAAAGAACATGTTGTATCTCTTCTTTCCTGAAAATGTCTATGAACTGTAGAGTAAGCTATACCCACCTTTTTAAAAAAAGCATATTTCAAAAGGAACCCTTCCTATTCACTTGTTTTCTACTAGATATGGAAAGGTAGACTCATTAAGTGAGGATGTAATAGGCCTTCACTGTGTTATTCTTCTTAAAAATAAGAGCAAGTAGACTACCTAGTGCTTCCTAAAGTAGCATTACAAAAGCCCATAGACTAGCCATCTGTTAGTAACGAAGGAAACCTAGATATTTCAAGGTACAGTCAAGTATGGTAAGCTAGAGCTTCCTCAGCACAGTACCATACCTAAACCTAAAAGCATTTTGGTTACCAAAATCTAAGATATTTTTTTCATACAAGTTAAATTTTTAATAATGTCCACTAGTATTAATTTTTACCATTTTGATGCATCAATAGTGAACTATGTTTCAAATTATCATGTGATGTTTCAGAAGACATTCAGAACTCTCAGAACTTAATGTTAAAGTGATGGAGGCGCTTTCATTATATACGAAGTTAATGAATGAAGATCCAATGTATTCCATGTATGCAAAACTGCAGAATCAGCAGTATTATATGCAGCCATCTGGTGTTTCTGGTTCTCAGGTATGCTTTTTAAAGCTCAATTCTTTTTAATTCTCTAATATATTTGAGATTGTTTGGGATAGCTGTGCTTTTATCAAATGTGAAACTTTTTTTGTATTTGTTTTGAGACAGGGTCTTGCTATATAACCCAGACTGGCCTTGAACTTGTGATCTTCCTGCCTCAGCCCTGTGCTGGGATTACAGGTGTGTACATCATGCCTGGCTACCATATAAATCTAACTGTGATGTTCAGAATGAAAATAAAGTTTAATAGAATTTTTTTACTCCATGAATAAAATGTGTAGTATACTAAATATACCAATTTTTTTCTTTTATTTTTTATTCTTTTTCTTTTTAAAAATATAGATACTTTGGTCCTATCTTAGACCTATTATTGAATCAGAATGTTTAAGGTTGAGGCCCAAACATCTACATATTTTAAAGCTTCATTAGGAGCTTCAGGTTTTTCTTAATTAAGTTGAATCTTTAATTAATACTAAATTCTTCTGAGTATCTGTAGTTTTTGTTTTACAGTAAGCTGCTTATGTTAAGTGTTCTTTTCACACACTCAAAAATAAAGAGTATGGGAGGAAACTTTTGGATCGATAAACACATTTGTGGATTAGATTATGGTGATGGTGTCAAATTTATCTCCGAACCATTAAGTTGGATTCAGCCTTTTGTAGGTCAATTATATCTCAATAAAATAGTTTTTAAAAACCCACAAATTAAAATGTACCATTTCCAGAGATAAAAAAACTGTTTTTGAATGCTTGAAGAAGTTCTACTTATCCTTAAAAGGAAAACTTAAGTGCAGTGGGAAAAATGGTTGAAAATCTGTTATAAAGGAAATGAACAAAATGTAATATTCCTGTACATTTTAAAAAACTGCTTCAGTATGAAATGTTTTTTCCCTTCTTTACATTAGAATGCATAAATTTCTGGGTGTATAGCTCAGTGGTAGCGCTCTTGCCTAGTGTATACAAGGCCCTGGGTTTAATTTCCACACCACAAAAGCAAAACATACAATACTAGAACGAATATATTGTAATTCAGAGACCCTTTTACTCTAGGCAGCTGTTTAAGGGTCCGTTTTCCATAAATTTGGCAAGTTCTGGGTATAAGGAGTAATTAACTATATACTCTGTTTTGTTCATTTAGGGTGTTCACACATTTTGTTCAGATTTTTTTCACAGGTCCATTTTCCCTGAAATGAGGGGTCAACATCCTAGAGATGAACATCCAGGCTTGAGAAATGTGAGGCATGGATTTGGATTTATGGCAGGCCTGTCCCTCTGGGCCTGTCATGTATCCCACATCAGAGCAGACTGGCTCCAAACCATTGCCTGTCCTCTGCCGGTAGACTGCTCACACTAAAGTGGGCTGCACAGTGCAAAAGAAAAATACTAAACAAAACAAAAAGCAAGTCTTCATCACCAGTTTGGGTTAAACAAATAAGTAACCTTCATTGCAATAAACAATGAAATATAGTTGTGAAGACTGGTATAGTTATATTTATAACGAACACATTTTGGATTCTTATGTATATAGAGTCTATTATGGTTTAACAGAAAGGCAAGATAATTGTCCCTATCGCTTGGCAGTTGCTTGTTGTTGTCTTAACATGTGGGAACAGATTTACTGCATGAACTGTAGAAGGTCTCTCTCTTCAAGCCTTTGAAATGGGCACTACAGAAAATAAAAAGATGTGTGAAACTTCAGTCTCCTTTTTTTTTAAAAACAACAACAATTTTTGGACATAAGAGCAGGCAAACAGATCTTGTCTCATGCCTGTTTTTGTCTTGAACAAAACAGCCGTTGTCATTTCTATATTGTCTATAGCAGTGTTCTATACCTGTAGAATTCAGTAATTTTGACAGAGACCATATACTCACAAAGCCTAAAGTATTTACTTTCTGACCCTTCATAAGAAAGTTTGCTGACCTTTGCTTTAGAAAGTTAGCTTGCTCTGGATTCATTAAATTACAGTTTGGAAAACATGAATTTAAGTTTAGTCTATGGCTATAAAGCAGTGAATGCAAGTACACTTCTTAAATGTCCTTTTAAAATGTCAGCGTGGAAAACATTCAGTAAATTTAATAGATTATACCTAGCATAAATTTTATGGGTAAATTCCTTTAATGATTCTATGTGGGATAAACGTATGTTGCATCTAAAAACAAAAATCATTAGCACTCTGCTTTACTGAAAAGTATATTGTATCAAATGCCTATTGACAGAAGTAACATCTAAGACTCTAGAGAAGTAATTTTTGTCCTTTCTGTAGCTGCATGCCTCTCTGGACCAGGTTGGGAATGTGTATTCAAGTTTTATAATCAAGAATGTTTTCTCACTACCTGTTGTAGGTATATCCAGGGCCTCAACAAAGTAGTGCTTACCTGGTTGCAGGGAGTGCACAGATGAGCCATCTCCAGAGCTACAGTCTTCCCCCTGAGCAGCTATCTTCTCTCAGCCAAGGAGCCGTTCCGCCATCAGCAAACCCAGCCCTTCCTACTCAGCAGACCCAGGCTGCTTACACGAAGTAATTACATTAGTGATGGGTTTTTGGGGTTAAGGCTGTGAAAATTCTTTAATTGGCTTCAGTGGTCTGTAAGCTTAGACCTAGATAAGAAAAATAGAAGGTCTAGAGTATGGCTGTTGCCAGACAGCCCCATTTGTGGTATTGAGTACATTCTACAGGAACTCTTGTGATAGCACATTTGCCAGCTGAAAGCCAGTCCTCTAATCAAGTAGCTAAACTCTGGTAGAGTTTGAACTCAGGGCCTTGTGCTTGCTAGGCCTTGTGCTTGCTAACCAGGTGCTTTATCACTTGAACCATCCCTTCCAACCCTTTTTGCTTTAGGTCTTTTTTGAATAGATCTTACATTTTTGCATGGACCAGCCTGGTCCATATTTATGCCTCCCTCATCACAAGGATGACAGGTGCATGCCACCAAACCCAGCTTTGTTAGTTGAGATGGGTTTCACTAACTTTTTGCCCAGGCTAGCCTTGAACCGCAGCCCTCCTGATCTCTGCTCCCAAGTAGCTCAGATTAAAGGTATGAGCCACCATACCAGCTGTATTTTTTTATATTCCTATCATGGGTGTTTTTTTTTTATGTTTGAGTCTGATATTTGATAATATGTTTAATGAAACTGACTTTGGTAACTATAATTTATCATTTTCCCACAAATTTTATATAAAATTATGTTTTTTGTTTTTGTGTTTTTGGAATACAAAGAGACTGGGTTGTCTCTTTAAGTGGATTGTTTCCTGATTTTTGCTCTGTATTGCAATTTAGTTTTATTACAGAAGGTACAGAATTTCAAATCTATATGCCCCATTGATTTTCAAGGCACGAAACTGATTATGTGATGACAGAAGGCTTATTATTTTGGGTATTCACTTATAGTGTTCTCTATCACAGTTAAGTGATTATTAATTATATATGTGTCTTTTTTGCTTTAATAGAAGTTTAAGCTGAATTCCTTCCCTTGAAGCAACTAGAGGTTAGGTTTGAAGAGTTCATTAGCATGTATTCTACAAGTCACAATGTTTTGACTTACATCATCAGTTTCTAAGTAGCACAGGCACATTTTCTAGAAATCTTTCCATCAGTGTCCATAAGTGTTTCTGAACTACCCTCACTATTGTAAAATTGAGCCTCAAAGAATCACATTTTGGAGACACAATTGGGGATTTTTCAAGCTGTATTCTTTGTGAAATTTAATAATATCCTGAAGTTGCCTTACAAAGAAACATAATGAGGAAGCCTGACATTTATGGAGTGTCTAGTATGTGCCAGTATGCTTTGTTTTATGCATATTAATTCGTTTGTCCCTTATAATGACCTGTGAAGGAGTTACACTAGTACCTCATTTTATACATGGGGCAACTTAACTAATCTTTAAAACCAGGTATTCTGACTGCAGAGCTTACCTTGTAGTCTCTACACTATATTAGTGCAGTATTGTGGTCCAAAATGATATAAATAATCGCATGAAATTTAACTTCACATTTCACAGTGCCGTATATACGGAATGATAATGAGTGATGCATACAGCACAGTGCATCTTACGAAACATCCCTTGAATGTTAGCTGTTGCTATAGTCATTCTCGCCTTATGTTTCTACCTCAATTTACAGTTCTACCACCTACCCACTTGTCTGAGGCAAAACCCTACAGTTTACAAAAGCTTCTTCTCTTATCTTTGCTTTGCATTACCTCTCTACCATGTCACCAGTATATAATTATCTGATAATTGCCTGCATAAGTCTTCCCCATTGATACCATTGTTTCTTAGAGTTAGACATTCATCATTTCTTGCCTAGTTTGCATGGTCTCACGACATCAGTCTTGCCTTTTTGAATCCATCTATCCTGTTACTATTTTCATTATCCTTAAGACTCAAGCTCCTTAATATGCTACCTAAGGCCCTGCATTCAGTCCTTGTCAATGTCTTCAGGTATATCTCTTAACATTCCCACCATACACTTTAAATCATTAGTAACAGGATACTGGTGATAACACCCACCATATACCAGGCCTTTCACCCCTCCCATTCTTGTGCATACCACAGATAACATGCCATGCTGTAGTACCATATCTTTGCTTGTGATAGAACATCCTTCTTTTTTTGTCATTCCTAGCTAAGAATGACACATCCTAAGTATATTTTCTTAGGACATTTGAGACATTTAAAGCACTGGATACGTATGTACCTTTATGATTTATGTTGTAGCAAATTATATAGCTTTGTATGTTTGCCCTTTCTTAGAAGAAACTCAAATTTTACTTGTATTTCAGTTGTTTAGCATACATTTATAACTTTATTTGGTTAACTTTGCTTTTCTTTCTCTTCAATGTTTTGAAGTTTATTCAATTCAAAGAGCTAATACTAGTTTGTAGAGCCTTTCAATTCTAAGTTCTTGAGGTATATGCCTATATTAAAGATCTTCTCAGTAGATCTTCCTTGACTGTCCCATTTCAAATTGAAGTCACCTATATCACTCTCCTTTTTCAAGAAGTATCTTTTTTGTTTGTTTTTGTGATGTTGGGAATCAACCCCAAGGATGCCAGGCAAGCATTGCATATTGAGCTACATCTCCAGCTCTTACTAAATTTTCAGTAAACTCTGTTTAACAGAAGTAAAACTGAAATCATAGGTAATTTAGTACATAATCTTTGGTGGCCTTATAATGTCACTTATTGTCACCTTATAATACTGTCATCACTACAAATAGCTTTTGGAAACTGCATCATTGCCATCTTCTCTCAGTAAGCATCTGTCCTAAGATGAAAGAAGTCTGAAAAGGTGTTAATTCTGAAACCAAAATTGTAGGTAAAAGAATGAGAAGTAGCCTCCTAGGTGTGAGCTGAAGAGCACTGTAACAACATGCCTATCAAAAACAACAAAACTCCTCATTGTCCTTGATATGTAGCTGGAAAGCTTACGTCAAATGAGCAGTACACCTCTAACAAGTAGACTTCTGACCCTGACCCTTTCTCCTCCCAACTATTCCACTTTTGCTCTGCTAGCAGTTTCCTTAGTTCTCCGTTTAAGCATACGTATTTGTTTTGATGTGTTTGTGTGTGTATGTATCTATATGTACATTTACATCTAATTTCTCCATTTAAGCACACACATACATTTGCTTTTATATAGATTCTTAAATTGTGTCAAAACCTTTATGTAGCCTTTGCAGCAAATAAAAATACCTTACTGGCTTAATACAGCACCTGAAATTATCATCATTAACATGTATGCATTTATCGAATATTTGCTTAGTTCCTATTTGGTATAAAACTGCCCTAGTCAATGTGGCTATAAAAGATAAAAGAGACTCAACTTCAGCTCTTAATATACTGTAGTTAAAGGGGATACAGACAAGTCAAAAAGCAATCAGTGAAAATGGCACCCATAGGAACCGTGCTGGAGAGGCAAGAAAGCAAGGAAGGCATCCTAGTGAAAATGAAGCTAAGCTAACAACCCACTAGAGAATTAACAGGAATGAGCCAGGCCAAGAAGGCTAAATATTTCAAGGACATGCTCTACAAATGCACCTGTTGAATTGTACATGTGTTCTTTAGTGGTAACATTAATAGCTACACTATGTTTGTAGGGTCAGGCCCTGTACCAACAATTCGTATATGGATATAGTTTCAGATCTGAATAGGTATAGGTACATATAATTGACAAATGGTTGTGGTAGGATATGTGGAATGTCTTGTATTTTTTCTGTATTTTTAGGAAAATGACAGATGGGATTATCAGACTTTCATCTCCACTAATCCATTGAAATTGTTCTTGTCAACAACACTGGTGATTTCCATATTGCCAGATTGTGCAGTCAGTTTTCAGTTCTCCCATGCCGTTTGGTAGTTCGTCATTCTTTCTTCTTTTTTGAAATACTTTTTCACTTGGCCATGCCTATTGTTTCTTGGTTTTCCTTCTCACTGCTACTCCTCAGTCTCCTTTATATAGTGCCTCTGTCTTTCTGACTTCAAGTCTAGGGTTCACTAAATGAGCTGTTTTCTCTATTAGCAGATATACCCTAAAGGATTTCATGTAGCCTGTGACTCTGAACATCATGTGTATGCTAATAACTGCAAATTGTATTTTTACTCTGGACCTTCACTTGGCCCCAGATGTGAACAGCCGACTGCCTATGCATTATCTTACGAATCTTCTAGACGTCTCACTGGATACTTCCAGAGCCATTCTTTGATCTTCCTCACCCCTGTCCTGTCCCCAGACTACTGCAGTTCTGTCTGTATTCTTCACTTTTTTAGTGAATAGCCACTCTGCGTGTTTCTTTTTCCAGTTACTAAACCTCGCACGTTGACTACTATGTCCATTATCAAATTTTGGTGACACAGTCTTCAAAATATGTTTGGAGTGTGATCCTTTTCTCCCTTCTCCACTATTGCTCTGGTCGCCTGTCAGCCCTCATCTGGAAAAATGTAGTAGTCTCCACATTAGTTCTGTCTTCGTTCCAGAATAAGACTGTTAGAATGTGAGACATATCAGACTGAGGATGAAGCTCAATGGTATAATATTTACCTACTGTGCACACAGCCCTGGGTTTGATCCCCAGCCCTGCAAAAAAAAAAAAAGAAAGAAAGGTCCTATCATATTACCCTTCTGTTCAAAACCAACCAACAACCAAGGTCTTTCAAGGCACTGTATGGTCTGAGTCTCCTGCCCCCTTAATTCTGTCATCTTATTTTGTGCCACTCTTCCTTGTGCTGATCTGCCATAGTCCTCTTGGGCTCCTTCTGTTCCTTGGATATTGAATATGGCTTTTTCTGTCTTTTGCCTGAAGCAAGTTTTTCCTAGATAATTGATATGATGGCTGCCTTTTTCCCTTCTGTGGGTCTTTGCTTAAATACTGCTTTATGTGAAAGCAGCACCCAGTAAACTATAATCTATTACCTCAGGTACTTTGGACCTACCATGTTGTTTTTCTTCACACAACCCTCAATGACACAAACTTGTTTTTTATTCCTTTTCTCCCACTAAAATGTGTGCTCCATGATGTTAGGGCCTTATTTTTCTCACTCTTTTTACATCCCAGTACCTAAAAGAACAGTGTTTGACGCATTATAGATATTTAATTAAAAAATGTATCAAATGAATTTAAATGAGTGTCTAAAAATCTCTTTCTTATTTATCTTTAAGTAGTAATGTAATTGAATATTAACTAATTGTTTTTCTTCCTCCGTAGTGCAATGGTCAGTTCTGTTCAAGGAAATGCATATCCCAACCAGGCTCCAATATATAGTCCTCCTCCTGCTGCTGCTGCTGCTGCACCTGCAGACGTCACTCTATACCAGAATGCAGGAACTAATATGTCCCAGGTGCCAAACTATAATTTAACAGCATCAGCCCTGCCTCAACCAGGAGGCAGCCAACAGCCACCTCAGCCACAGCAACCATATTCTCAAAAGGCTCTGCTATAGGACCTGGTGTTCCTTTTTTGTGGCACATACCTGCTAAATGCCGCTGACAAGGTTAGGAGATTCATTGCTACTTAAGATTCGTTTATCCTCAGCTTATAGGAATCAGTCTTGGTCAACAAGTTAAAATACCCAAGAACATAGAACTCTCTTCGATTTGCACTGACTTGTTAGAGGTTCATCCCTTTTCCTCCCCCAGAGGAATGAAACTACTTACAACACTTAATTCCTTTCGTAATATGAAGAATTGATACGTGATTAGTGTCTCATAAAATTATCTGGTCTGCAAAAAGTCAAACTTACAAAAACTGTTGTGGCAAATGTTATGCACATATGTTGATATGTAGCTTCATTAGTGGCCGTTTCAGTCACAGTGGTGATCATGTGAGTGTTTAACACTGTGTTAAATTAATTTACATTGCTATTTTATTTTAATCATGAACAGTTACCATGTTTCCTAATGTTTTGTGTAGATTTAAGATAATTACACTATCCTGTTAAACTGCAAGAGAGCAGCGTTGTAGCGTATTTCCAGGCAGGCATTGTTGTCCATGGCTCAGTTTCACATTAAGCTGACCTCCCTTTTATTCATTGTGACTGAACTTATGTGTATTATGTGTTTCTGTAGTCTCTGCATACTACTCGCTGTCATCACACCAGCGGACAGTAGCTAAATTTTTGGTGCAGTTACAGCAAATGATAATGTTCCCTTTTAAACTTTACATCTTGGCATGATATTTCAGGTATTGTGGGACCGTGAGACAAAATTAAGTAGGATCACATTCTTTACATCTTAATTTTAAAGAAATAATGTTGATTTACTTTTTCCTAGTTGAAGATAGTAATTAGGTTTCTAAGTGTATATTGTGTTTATTGGTGGCAGTGACACCAAAGATAGAGGCCATGAATAGAAATTTTTTAACTGGAAAGAAAACATTTATTACACTACATTTTCAAAGTCTCTTGTAATTGTTTAGAATATAAACAAAATTTGATTCATTTGTCTTACCCTACTACTAGTCTTTTAAATATGTCTTTAACACATTGTATCCTTTAATTCTTCATTAAAATGGATATGAGAAGATGTTTCAAAATAATTTATATTCCTGGCTTTGCTTAACAGTTTATGTATTTATTACTGTGTTTCAAACTGGAGTTCTGGCTGCTTTCTCTCTCTCTCTCTCTCTCTCTCTCTCTCTCACTCATTTAAAGTTTTTATGGAATTATTTTGGCTTCTTATTCAGGAGTGTTTTTGAATACTCTCTTTTAATCCATAGAGAATGTTTTTCACTGACATTTAAAATGGTAACTATTCCTAATTTCCCTGGTTGTACTATACTATAATTTAGCAGTATTATTTGCACAATTGAAATTTTGGGTTGAGTACCATGTTTAATGAATTAATTCAGCAGGATTCATACTATAAATACAAATTTGGTTTGTATTTTCTAAGACTCTTGTAATAGGGAAGCTTGTCTGTTTTGTTTTTGACGAACAACTCCATCTTTGGCAGATAATCTTAATGGCGACTAACTTCAGGTTTGGATGCACCATCTTCAACATAAGTGTGTCACCGTGGTGTTACATGTTTTCCTGAGTTGAGAGAGAGAGAGAGAGTCCTGTGATTTGAATTTAGGGTGGCTTTTTTGGGGGTTGGGGAAGCTGCTGTACTGGGATTTGAACTCGGGGCCTAGACAGGCAGTCTTACTGCTTGAGCCACTCCACCAGCCCGTATTTAGAGGTGCTGCCTTCAAATAGTAATGTTTAAAATTCAATTCAAACTTCACACCTTATTTTTCATTAGTTCTTTTTGTTAAACAGATTATAATCTTTTTTCATTCCAACTTAAATACCATAGTTTAAGTGATACTCTTTTCCCCAAGTCATACTATATTACTTTTTGTCATTTGATAAATTCCTGTTTATAACTATATCCTTTTCACATTTTAATTTTGATATCCTTTGTGTTGTAAAATCAATTAAACATTCTCTAGTATGCTTTTTGCCTTAGAAATGTCAAAGAATGTATACCCAGTAGGTTACCAGTTCATAAAATGAAAAAATCTTACCCTAATTTCAATGTATATGTATTTTTCATTACCTATTAGATTACTACGCTTACAAAGATTTAAATGAGTATTTGAAATGAAATTATTTTAGTTGGTGTCTTTCACTTATTAGGAATGAAAACACCAAGTTAGAAATTTTTCAATGAAAATGAATCACTGGCTTTTCCATCTTTGATCTGACAAGAGTGGGAATAGGAATGGGTCTCAAATAATTTTCTTTTGAAACCTGTGTGTGTTATACTTTCCCAAAATCTTTCATTAATAGCTGTCCTTAGCTTGAAGGAGTAGAATTATTTATAAAATGAACTAATTGTAGTGCAAACTTCTGTGAAGCATATTTTATTTCTCAGCTTATTTATAAAGTGTGAATTGCTTCAATAAACGTGACATCTAAATGGAAAAAAGTTCAATCCAGTTACTGTGCAGCATGAATGGCCAGTATACCCCATGGTTAAGTGGGTGTGACAGTGTATCAGTTCTCTGAACCTACTAGGAGTACACATAGTGTACTCACTATGATATTGTAGTATGTGCTAACTCTGATCCTCCTTCACTTTACCTATCTCCCCTACTCACTGAGGGACCTTTTTATGTGCCTAGAGATTCCCTTCATATTAAATATTTATGTAATTGTTTGTCTTCACCTCTTAGTTTTTATATTTAAAATGCTTAATAGACCAGTGTCATTCATTTCTCATGGATTTGGCTTTCATATGTACATGTTTCATTGAGCTTGAAGATACCCTTTATACAAAGCTGCAGGTTTGTATAAAACAGCTTAATACCCTACATGATAAAGTATACAGCTATAAAATTATAGAAGTTATTTTACAGAATGAGGTTTATTGGTATAATTGGCCACATTTCCATCTCATACACATTAAAATCACTATTTTGTTTTTCTCATCTATTTCCTTGTTTTAATTACCAGTTGTACTAATTATTAATTATTAATAGGTTTCTGTTACATCACTTTTTAAATATTAATAACAAAAGTGCAGTTTTAATTTTCCACTTTTGTATCTAATTATTTTTGTGAGATTTTTGTTTCGTTTGTTTGATTTTGGTTGATTGATTGCTTATACTCCTTAGAATAAAATATATGGAGGAACTTAGCTATATATTTTCTCTAAAGTTTTATTTTTAATTATCTTTTTTTTTTTTTCAAAGAAGGGGAATAGGAATTATTAAATTGGCCCCTTGAAGTATCAGACACTGTAAGTGGTGCTTTTTCTAAGGAGATTCTGCACTAAGAATTTTCAGGCCTACAGAAAGACTAAAAAAGTAATACATTGGACACCCAAACATTTTCATCTAGAGTCACCAATCATTAACAATTTGCTTTATTTCCTTATGTATGTTTGTATATAGATGTATGTATATGTATAAGATGTGTCCATATGTGTATACATACACACACATACTCTCATATAACCTAAGCCATTATCACATCTAAGAAACTAGCAGTTATTCTGTATTATATTATTCTCAAATGTCCCTACAAACATACTTTTTAATACACATAATGCATTAAACACATACACACAGTCTTTAATACAGAAAATACATGCCACCTTTTTGATGTCCCTTGATTCTCTGCTAATCTGGATCATGTCATGTTTTCCTCCATGACACTGACTTTTTAAGAATTGTCTTATCAAATGTCCCACATTCTGAATATTTATCTCTTTATGATAACTTTATTTAACTTGATGCTGTATTCTCACTATAATGGCTGTTATTTATTTCAAACAAATTATAATCAGAACCATATGATTTATGGTTGGAGTAATGAAAGTTATTTTTCAGGCTTATATCAGAAGCCACAAACATAACTGAACATCACTAATCTTAAAGTCTCTACTGGTAATTTTAGAAGTGTAATCAACAATTATAGGGCTGTGTTTGGGATACCTAAATTTTGACATGTCTGTTTTAAAGAATTTCTTGTTACCTAATAGTCAGTACCTATTAAGATACTAAAGTTGCTGAAAGGTGAGGAAAGTTCTTTCTTTTTAAAGTCCTAATTGTTACTTAATTTCTTCAACTTGGTTACCAAATTGGAAACAGGCTGAGTAAAATACATAAACCCATGGTCAAATTAGAAACACATGCAACTTAACAGTAATGTACACCTACAATTGCTTGTTTAGGGCCTTAAATTATTTCAGTTGATTAATGCTTTTGTAAACAAATATAATAAATGTTTGTTATCTGTTGTTTCTGAGGCAGTGTATATGAGGTTCTTAGCTGAGGACCATGACATGTCTTACTACTTTAAAAAGAAACATGGCATATAAACAGTTGAGAAGATTTTCAGTTAAGTTAATCATGTGTATTATTATCTGTTAGGCAGGTGTGAATTTCCAAATAGAAAAAAATTTATTTATTTATTTATATTTATTTATTTTTGCAGTGCTTGGGGTTTGAACTCAGGGCCTCATGCTCGTAAGGCAGGTGCTCTACTACTTGAGCCATTCCACCATCCTGCCAAATAGGAAACTTTACATGAAATGCCTATATATTACAGTTACTCTTCTCTGACCCAAAAAGTGCAGAAAGAAAATGTTTGTTTTGCTATTTTGGAATGTTTTCTTCCTTAAAAGAAAAAGATTTCAGCATAAGTATCTCTGATATTTTATAATCTAAAAATATAATTGTAATAACATACTCAAAAGAGTTGCTAACTGTAACTGAAGAAGTTTTAATCACGAATATAGGTAAAATCACTTAGTGTATGTCAGATAGGCTTCATAATAATAACTTCATTTCTACAAATACTGGGTGGCACATGACAAGGTGGTTTCACTAATTTTCATTGTGAATGTATCATAGTTTGTTGATCACATGGATTTCTTGTAAAGAAATGTGCTGTTTGGTGGTGGTGGTGGTGTTTGGGATTGAAGATATGAATAAGAAGTCATTAAATTGACTGATTCATTCTGCTATTAAGTGGAAATATCAGTTTATTGTCCTAGGAATCCAGAGAAGAGGATTTTAACCGTGATAAAGCTTTCATCAAAAGAATATCTTGGCAGATGTGCAATCTTGGGCAGCTCTGTGACTCTCTCTTGGCTGCCTTCTAATTTGTAATTTGTAGAACTAATGTAACTACATGATCATTTGTAGTTTATAAAAATTCAGTGCTTTATATCTTCTACTTCTGTCTATCTGAAATACTACCGCCATTGACCCTGAATAACTCATCCAGGACACTAAACTTATTCCATAGTGGCTTAGAAGAGGAAAAAGGGTGGAATGGGGTTGGGTCCTGTGGTGCTGAAACTCGAAGACATAACACAGTCATAACTATTGTAACAAGTTACTTTCTGAAAATAATCTGAGGATTCTGTTTATCCAGTAGCAAACTGGTGAGCTTTTTGTTCTTGTTCAAATTACCCTACTAGGAACATTTGCATTTTGGGTAGAAGTGCTTTCCTTATTAATTCTTTCACTTTCATTGGCACTGATTTGGAAAAAGAAGAAAAAAATTACAGCTCTGGGTATATACTGTATTTTTATACTGCTTGAAACCAAAGGAGATCGGTAGCATCAGATTGAAATTTTATAGTTCTTGATGTTCTAGTAGGCAAAGTCCCATTGACCTGAAAACAGTGGAGGCACTGCACCACTGTCACTGTCCTCAAGCTATTCTGATTATTAAGTTAGCAGATTGCTAAAATAGTAGAGTTCTGTGGAAACATAGTCTCCATCTTTGGTACTAACTGAGTGGTGTTTTCTAATACTTCAAATAAGGTACAAAACTAGCAGTGACTTCTTGATATCCCAACTACCTTCCCTAAAAAAAATGCCTTTATATTCCATTGAGTTACAGATTATTAATATAAAAATTAATGTGGCTATTAAATTTAAGAACACTTGATTCTTTTAAAGAACTTTTTTCTTATCTATTAAATTAATCCAATTTAGTGTATATTGTACAAAATACTGAGATTCTTCATGCCATTTTCATATGCATACATATGTCATGCTTTGATCATATCATTCCATAACCTTCACTTACCTCTGTCCTTTCCTCTTCCCTGATAGTGCCCCTTCCATTTTAATGTCTTTTAAAGTCCATTTTT